GACTTCATGGTTGAATTTCATAGGTGAACTTCATGGTTGAATTTCATAGATGAATTTCATGATTGAACTTCATAGGTGAATCCAATTTAACCCTTTATTTACTTGTTAATCAAATGCATAGCATCACACATGAACATGATGAGACTGACAATACAGGCAGATAGAATTTGCTAATCAAATCTGTAGTATTATATATGAACATGATATAACTGACAATACTGGCAATCAACCCCTTCCTACGATATCGTGTGACACTCGTGACCACTTTAAATACAACAAATCAGATTTACATTCACAGCACGATTGAGTTTGGACCAATTATAAATTGCACGAGGCTCTTCAAATTTAAAATGTATCTAACATTTCAATTTTCCTTATTTGTCTTAACAATGCAGAAATAATTAGCTGTGGTTGAAGCAAGTTCTAAAGAAATCATGGGCTGAGGGTTAAAATGAATATGTGAAACATACAAACTAGTTATATATTACTTTGGTTGTTTTAGTGTTAAGAGGTTAATAGCAGAGAAGTAACTTTTCGACTAAAAAGTTATTCGTTAAGGGTGCACTTTATAGTAGCTCGAATGTATTTCTTAACAGTGATGTTAATCATGTTTGACGTGATATTAAGAAGTCTTTCTTTAAGAAAAGGGAAGCAAACCTAAGCACTTGTTCCGGTGAAATGGCACCAGAACCCCCGGTGGTGTGTCCCCGGTGCCTGTAAGGGGTGGTATGAGACGAGTGATGATGAGGGGCGCTCGGTGGTCTCTCGACGATCGTGTAACTCGTGCCCGGAGGACTGTAATAACCCCTGTGTTGACCGCCATGATGCCTGCTGGTTGGTTCTAAATCCTCGGCTTCGTAACAACCACCGGTGCCGCTTCTCAGGAAGTGTGAGCCGCTGCGCAGGAAGTGCGACCCGCTACCGCCACCCCACTGCAACTCCTGCAATTCCGACCCGTAATCCTCCGTGCTGCTGGCCATGCCTCTGGGATCCGTTTTGTCAGACCTGCAAAATTAACGATACACACGTTCTAACCTACACGTAAACTTTTGCACATCCACACAACGTGATATTCCAATCTTGCAGTGAAACATTTGCGCGAATGCGAGTGTTCTAAGCGAACGGCGTATAAAATCGTTGAGCTACGAGCGGGTTTGCACGAGGCGTGAAACGACGCGAAGTAACAGGCAACTTTCAAATTTCTTCCGGCGATAATAGCCGGTTTCCTGGCGGGATTATGACATCGCCACGGCACGGAAAATCGCCTCGTTCTCGGGCATCGCGTGAAGATGTTATCGGGGACAGCCGGTCGAGATAAGGGAGTTTCCCTCGCGATGAATTTCATTATTTCGCTCCGCTTGTCCGTTTACGACGATCGATAAGCCTCACGGTCGATCATCAAGATAATATCGATCTCGATCGAAACTCGAGACAACATTTGATAATATTTTTTTAAACATGGATCGTTGTGAGAGGACAATTATTCTGATATAGATGGAACTGTGCAGATGTTACAATTTAATTGTATTTTTGTACGAGAGTCTTTTTATGATGATCAAACAATGATTTATTTAAAAAAAAATGTTGAACAAGTTCATTTAAAAAAAATGTTAAATAAGTTCATTTAAAAAAAATTATAAGTTAAATAAGTTTATTTTAAAAAATGGTTCAATAAGTTTATTTAAAAAAAATGTTAAATAAGTTCATTTAAAAAAAATTATAAGTTAAATAAGTTTATTTAAAAAAAATGTTAAATAAGTTCATTTTAAAAAAATTTTAAATAAGTTCATGTAAAAAAATTATAACTTAAATAAGTTTATTTTTAAAAAATGTTAAATAAGTTCATTTTAAAAAAATATTAAATAAGTTTATTTAAAAAAAATGTTAAATAAGTTCATTTAAAAAAAATGTTAAATAAGTTCATTTTAAAAAAATGTTAAATAAGTTCATTTTAAAAAAATATTAAACAAGTTCATTTTAAAAAAATGTTAAATAAGTTCATGTAAAAAAAAATGTTAAATAAATTCATTTTAACAAAATGTTAAACAAGTTCATTTAACAAAAATGTTAAACAAGTTCGTTTCAAAAAAATGTTGAGCAAGTTCATTTAACAAACGCATTTGATCGAAGGGCAAAAATAAAGCGCATAGGTAAATCGATGTACTCAGAAATAAAATGGTGGTTTCTTTTAGAAGGAATATTGTGAAGAGTGTAGGAAGTCGTCGCTCGTGAAACGAGGCAAGTTTCGAGATTATGAAAATACAATTAGCGTCGCGCGAAGGAAGGCTAATAATTAAATCGGTTCGGTGAAAGAGAATGGGCCACGACCTAAATTCGAAGATAGGAAGACGTCGATCTAGAATCTCGTAAATTAGTCGGTGTCCTCTGGGAACTTTGATATTCACCCTCTGTGTATCGTTCAAACGTCTCGGCTAAACCGAACCTTTTCGCATAATGCCCCGCTTTACATAATGGTATTATAGTTATGATTGTACGTAAGAGGCTAGACAAAGATGAACTAAGAATAGAACCGCAACGTAAGAGCCGAATTTTAATGAAGCGAGCTTTGCTTAACAAAGGTTTCGTTTTCGACGAAATTGACACCTTGCACTGTGAAATTCCTGAAACAGCGCCATATAAGCAGAAAACTGAGGAATTTCGCTGTGTCGGGTAAATAGTCGGGATCAGCGAAATCAGAGTCGGAATATTAATCCGAAGGGGACTGCGATTCGATTTTCTAGAACAACCACGGCATTACCAAGCGGTGAGGTTCTAATAGCGTTAGGAAGCCTCCTGTTACCGCCGGAAGAAATTTCGGAGTCATCCGGTTCGCGGTAAATGCATACTATGCAAACCTGACGCGGTGCTTCGTTGAGCATCGATCGACGCTGTTTAATTCATACGCGACACCGCGATCGATCCGCGACCTCGACTTCAAACATCTTCCGTTGTCCGCTCGATCTTACGAAAAACCTCCAGAATTTCTGCTACATTCTTGCAGGCGAGTTTCGGTGAAAATCGGGAAAGTATTTTGGATCGGTGTTGAGACAGCGAGGGTTGCGAATTACCACGGTTTCGTGAAACAGCCTTTTAACGCGATTAAATCGAAAAGAGCGATTATCTCGAAACAATCGTGGTGGTTACCCCTTGACGCTATAGCGAAGTATAGTAACGGCGTTAGAGCGGTCGGAGAATCGGTGGAAAGAGAACTGCTGAATGAAGCTGGCTTCAGGGGGTGTTCCTGCAGTATTGATCGCCCCACCCTCGCACTACGGGACACATAGCATCCCTTCTCCGCCACCCACTCAACTGTAACTTTATCTCTTTCTCTTCTACCCTCGACCTTCTCTTCCACCCACCCTTCTCTAACACACTTTACCCCATCCACTTTCTCCCTTTAACGCTAAAGGCCAATGACGAAATACGTTTCTATTTTTTTTACGCGTTAAAAATCACATTTTACCCTCGTTTCTCCTTCTCTCTCCTAGGAACCAGGGGCAACCTCCAACGCGACCCAACCACCCGTTCAGTGTCAAGGTTGGGTCAGACTCTTGGATGAGCCAGATTTGATCGTTGCTTCGCTCGAATAATCGAACGTACGCGTATTTGGGAAATTGCTCGGTTTCCTGGCTATTCGGGACTGTGGCTGGCACACAGGTGCAGATGGTGTGAACTTACGGCCCGGAAGTCGAGCAATGTTGCGGTCGACGATTCGGTATTCGATTATTGTCGGTTTTCGTTGCTGCGATCCTTTGGGAGAGCGTTTGCACGGCCTGTAGAAATTTCACGAATACGAGGCTAAGACCTAACGGATTCCTCTTGCAAAATTTTTATGCGCGTACTCTTGCTGCTAATTGCTGCTCGAATTTGTAATATGCCTCAGTTCGAAGTTTGTGTAAAAATTGTAGAACATACAACTGGCATAACATTTACTCGTACTCGTATAATTGACAGAGAATTACTTTTAATTTTGTGGCAATGGAATTTCTTCGCTGTAGGTCGTTAGAGAAGAAGATAAGAGTGGAAACGAACCATAAGAACCAAAAGAATACAAAAATTTTATCATTGACATAATGTATTCCTTATACAATAGATCTCTGTATAATTACCTTATGATCAAAATTAAAGGAGCCAGAAATTCGACACGAGTGCGTCATGAGTGCATCATGGGTGCATCAGAGATGCGTCAAGAGTGCGTCACAACTTTATCTCTAGTACGTTCTGGGTGTACCATGGGTGCGTCAGAGGTGCGTCAGAGATGCATGAAGAATGAGTCATGAGTACGTCACGACTTCATCTCTAGGGCGTCATAGGTGCATCATGGGTGCGTCATGGTTGCGTCAGAGATGCATGAAGAGTGCTCCATGAGTGCGTCACGACTACAATCTCGAGTGCGTCAAGATTGTGTCATGAGTGCGTCACGAATTCATCTCTAGTGCGTCATAGGTGTGTCAGAGATGCATGAAGAGTGCGTCGTGAGTGCGTCGCGACTTCAACCTTAGTGTGTCATGAATGCGTCATGACTTCATCTCTAGTGCGTCATGGATGTATCATAGGTGCGTCATAGGTGTGTCAGATATGGGTGAACAGTGCGTCATGAGTGCGTCACGACTTGAATCTTAGTGCATCATCAGTGCGTCACGACTTCATCTCTAGTGCGTCATAACTTCATCTCTGGTGCGTCATGGATGTATCATGGGTACGTCATAGGTGCGTCAGATGCATGAAGAATGCGTCATGAGTGCGTCACGACTTTAACCTTAGTGTGTCATGAGTGCGTCACGACTTCATCCTTAGTGTGTCATGAGTGCGTCATAACTTCATCTCTAGTACGTCATGGATGTATCATGGATGCGTCATAGGTGTGTCAGAGATGCATGAAGAGTGTGTCATGACTTTATCTCTAGTGTGTCATGAGTGCGTCATGATAGTGCTATCTGATACGGCAAGAAAATCATGATTCAACGTAATCAGCTGTATCTACGTTGTAAATGAATAAGGTTGTAAGATGAACGTTGTTAGACGAACAAATTTGAATTTGAGGAATTCGAGGTAATTGAATTCGTACCGATTCGATCGATTACCTGAAATAAATAGAGAATGCAACCCAGTAGCGAAGCATTGTAAATTAAAACGTTTGAAAGGGCGGTAGGTGCAAATTATCTTACAGGATTACGTGGCACGCCACGAAATCGCTATTACGAAACGAGCGACTGCCTTCGACGAGAATCAAACCGGTAACTTTTCGCGCATCAATTAACGATTAGCCCCTGTCGGCATGGTGACTCTATCGAACGCGACTACCCTTCTCTAAATATACTTCTCCTTCGTTCAATGCTGCGATAAATACGTAATCGATCACGGGTTTATTAACGAGGCTTAATGAATGAATTCGAACTTCCCAGTTCCTGAATATTCGTCCTTTCAATGATATTCTAAAACCTACTGTAACGCAATCGTAAGTCGTAGCTACTTTCGTCGATTAAAAGTACAAGGTAATTAATTCGGAAATGATTTAAACGTAATTTAGAAAAGTTTACAATCGCTGAAGCCTTGAATTGTAGACGAAAGAGGAATTGTAGAAGAGGGGTTAAGAAGTTAAAGAAACAAGAACCGTAAGGAAGGTGTCGTGGCGGCGAGAAAACAGGAGGGTTAGTCGAGGGCAGTAAAGCCGAGTAAAGAGCATCATAAAACGTGGAAAGCATTTCGACCGACAGCATCTTCGTGTTATGGTAGGCGAGTTTTCCACGGTATCGGTAATAGAACGGCCCTTCGTCGAAGCAACACACACGCTGCGGCGACTGCAGTAGCAATATTTCACCAACCCCACGGAAATGGGCATGCCTGACCTCAGTGCACTCAGCTGCACCGACAACAACCTATGTAACGCGGAGAACGTGTGGCTCAGGTGTCTCGTAAGCCTCCGCTCCGAGAATAAAGCTGCCGTTTGTAAATATTGGACGAGACGTCTCGCTCTTCCTTTTCTGAACGCCGTTTACGGATTTATTTCCACGGAATCGAGTTTGACCGCTCAGTTAGGTAGTCTGTAACTCCCACTGGTAGCCTAAGTACTCCAATTTTTGCGTTGCTTTGTCGTTGGAGAAGAAGAAAAGAGAAGAACCATTTTCTTTGTCTAACAAACCTGATACAGGCGAAGGAATACAAAAATTTCACTAATAGGAAGATTACTACCACCATTGACATAATGTATTCCTTATACAACAGATCTCTGTATAATTATCTTATGGTCAAAATTAAAAGAGACAGAAATGCGTCATGAGTGCGTCACGACTGCATCATAAGTGCATCAGAGATGCGTCAAGAGTGCGTCAGAACTTTATCTCTAGTACGTTGTGGGTGTACCATGGGTGCGTCATAGGTGTGTCAGAGATGCATGAAGAGTGCGTCATGAGTGCGTCACGACTTCACCCTTAGTGTGTCATGAGTGCGTCATGACTTCATGTCTAGTGCGTCATAACTTCATATCTAGTGCGTCATGGATGTATCATGGGTGCGTCATAGGTGCAACAGATGCATGAAGAATGCGTCATGAGTGCGTCGTGAATATGTCATGAATGCATTATGAATGCGTCGAGAGTGCGTCACGAATGCGTCATGAATATGCCACGGGTGCGTCACGACTGTATATTGAGTGCGTCACGACTGTATCTCGAGTGCGTCATGATTGCGTCATGACTGTATCTCGAGTGCGTCATGAGTGCGTCACGACTTCGTCCTTAGTGTGTCATGAGTGCGTCACTTCATCTCTAGTGCGTCATGAGTGCGTCATAACTTTATCCTTAGTGTGTCATGAGTGCGTCATGACTTCATCCTTAGTGTGTCATGAGTGCGTCATGACTTTGTTTCTAGTGCGTCATAGGTATGTCAGAGATGCGTGTAGAGTGCGTCACCTTAGTGTGTCATGGGTGCGTCACCACTTTATCCTTAGTGTGTCATGACTTCATCTCTAGTGCGTCATAGATGTATCATTAGTGCGTCACAGGTGCGTCAGATATCCATGAAGAGTGCGTCATAAGTGCGTCACATCAACCTTGGTGTGTCATGAGTGCGTCACGACTTCATCCTTAGTATGTCACGAGTGCGTCATGACTTCATCTCTAGTGCGTCATAGATGTATTATGGGTGCGTCATAGGTGCGTCAGAAGCGCGTCACGACATCAACCTTAGTGTGTCATGAGTGCGTCGCGACTTCACCCTCAGTGTGTCATGAGTGCGTCACAACTTCATCTCTAGTGTGTCATGAGTGCGTCATGACTGCGTCACGAGTCACATATGACAAAAATAGCGAATAAAGAATTAGTACGAGTATATAATTTATGTACCCAGCACCCTCACAAAGCACCTCGCAACAGCAAAGAAAGACCGTTTAAAAAATTCTGCAACAATTTGCCTCGTTTCCTTGGCCTTTTTCCCGTTTTTCACTTCGCCTCAATTTACACGATTTTTTCACCTGTCCACGCGCACAATTCGTGCTGACGTGACTACGGAATTATGCAGCCGCATTGCGTGGGCCAGCAGCGTTGCATATGCGGGAAACAGCACGCAACGTGTTGCAGGTACGAGAATGAGCGCGTGGACGCGTGCAATGCGCCAACTTAAAGCGCCGAATAAATTAATCGCGTCGAAGATAGAAATCGGGCGTCGCGGAGTTTAAGCTTCGGAAACGAAGGAGAAAATAAAAGCTATCGAATAGCTGCTCAGTCGACGATCGAATCCAATTTCCGGTGCCGGTTAGCGTGACTGGTTCGCGTATTACAGGGGCGTGTTAGCGTGTACCTGGATCAATGGGACAGTGTTCGAAACGTCCAGTTAACGTTTACCTAACCGCCGTGTGTCCCTGGTGACTTATTCTATCGATTGGAAAGACGCGAAACTAAGAAATGTTGCTCGACGAGGCCGGTCAGATTTCTTTCGAAGGAACAAATAAATGACGAGGGAGAACGACGTTAAGTTACGATTCGGTAAATTGAACGGCGATACGTATCGAAGGAAATGGCCCGATATTACAGTGAATTACAAGGAACATTTTCTGAAAAAGAAACCCAGTAATTTCTCCTGTTCCGCGCATTTTGTACGGATGCATCTTTATACGAGATCGTGGTACAGCCTGTTGCGCGAACGCTGATGCCAGATAGGGTTAATTTTACGCTCTCTTTCAGTTTTTGTTGCCCTCTTCTCGATCTGTTTTTTTTTATAAATAAGCTTTTAAACCGCCGCATTTTCTCGTTCCAGATTTTCAAGCTGGCCGCTTTAGATGAATCTCTTCTGCGAGGATGCTTCGAACGCAACGCTGACGTTTCGAAATGCACGGCGAATTTGGGTTAAGGTTGAAGATAGCAGTTTTTTCACTGTCTGTCCGTTCTCTAAATTCGTCGCGATTTAAGGGAGAATTCGAACACCGATATTCACTCGATTGCGCCGATATTCGTCGCGCGTCAACTTTGCGATAGCGAGGAGCAGCGAAGTGATAAGTTTCCGGTGGAACGAGCAAAGGTCGAGCGCAAAAACAACCCTTAATCGAGGGAAGTTTATTCACACGAGAGGTAACGTAACACGGAAGAAATAAAAATATTGGTTATTTTTCTGAACGCCTTCTATTGACCTTTCACTGCCCGGCGGATTGACACATTTAGTTCAAACGTCTAGCTCTCCAGATGTGGGTTAAGAGATTGTGAATAAAATATTTAGGTTAATTTCCGATCCAAGGAAACCACGATAAAAGTCGAAACAGAAACGATTTGCAGAAGCGCGGAAAGTTCGTTGCTTCCATAGAAACGTGCCCGGTCATTCGTTACTTCGTGATGGTTTGCTGCAATATCGTCAACTGCTCGTGTCCCGCACGTGAATACCCACTGATACGTCCAGTTAGCGAGCAAACTATTGTTCCTTCGCCTATTTTTCATGCTACTAACGTTTTTCCTCCGCACTCTTTCGAATGCGCTTTTGTTTCTCGGTGGACAAATAAAAGGGAAACGTGCGCGAATGAAATTCTGAAGCAGAAAACTTAGCAATATGATAGAAATGAGGGAAATGTATAAATATAAGGGTGAATGTGGTTGAAATAGGAATTTTCAAGACGGATTTGTAAATCAACCCCTTTAATACAGTTGCGTCACAGAGCTAACCATTAGTATATTGTTAAAATGTTCATAAAGCTAAATGGCCACGTGATCAAATGGCAACGAGCGTATCAGGACAAGGGGTTGATTATAGGGATTGTTATTACGTGATGGTCAATAAAGGTAAATTCAATCAAGAGAAAGCAACCCTCTGGACGGAAACAGCGTATGAAAGTTCTTGTTTCATACGACAGAATCTGTAAATTAATTATGAGGGTGTTACTTGATGGTCAAGTTAGGGTAAATTCAATCAAAAGAAAACGCAAGGAAGTTCTTCTTTTATGTGACAAGATCTGTAAATTAACAGGGTTGTTATTACTTGATGGTCAATAGAAGGGCAATTCAACCTCAGAAAAAGAAAGCAACCCTCTGATTGGCTATCGAAAGTGTGCATGAAGGTTCTTTTATTTTATGTGGCAAGACATCTGTAAATTAACAGAGTTATTACTTGATGGTCAATGGAAAAGTAACTCGACTTCAGAAGGAGAAAGCAACCCTCTGACTGGCTATCGAAAACAATGCACTAAATTTCTTATTTTATGTGGCAAGACAGATCTGTAAATTAAGAGGGTTGTTATTACTTGATGGTCAATGGAAAAGTAACTCGACTTCAGAAGGAGAAAGCAACCCTCTGACTGGCTATCGAAAACAATACACTAAATTTCTTATTTTAAGTGGCAAGACATCTGTAAATTAACAGAGTTATTACTTGATGGTCAATGGAAAATTAACTCAACTTCAGAAGGAGAAAGCAACCCTCTGACTGGCTATCGAAAACAATGCACTAAATTTCTTAT